TTTTTTTCAGCTGATGCGCTTTTGTGTGTGTGCATGTCTGAGTGTGTGTGTGCGTGTGTACACGTGTGTGTACACCTGTGTATGCATGTATACGCAGGTGTTGTGTGCACGTGGGAGGCAGGGGTTCATGCCATGTTCTCCATCCCCCTCCCCTCGGTGGTCTCTCACTGAACCCAGGCTTGAGAGTTTCCAGTAGCCTAGGTAACCAGGGAGCTGGAGGGGCTGCCTGTCTCTGCTCCTACACAGCTGGAGTCATGCACGCTCACACCCCAGCTGGGGAGCTGGGCATCCGAACTCAGACGTTCATCCTTACAGCAAACGCTTTGCCTGCTGAGCTCGGTTTTCTTCCTTTCTTTTTATTTTTTATTTTTTATTATGTACACAGTGTTCTTCCTGCATGTATGCCTGCAGGCCAGAAGAGGGCGCCAGATCTCATTATAGATGGTTGTGAGCCACCATGTGGTTGCTGGGAGTTGAACTCAAGACCTCTTGAAGAGTAGTCAGTGCTCTTAACCTTTGAGCCATCTCTCCAGCCCGAGCTCTGTTTTCTTTTATTAAAATTATTTTATTTGATTAACTGTTTAGGTCAGAATGTCAAGTAATGAATTTGATTGTAACAAAAAGGATGCTAAGAGAGACACGCATCAATTGACCTAGGAAGGGGAAAAGGGAGGAGATCTGAATAAACTGGGAGCATGGGGGGCAGGGGGAGGGTGAAACGGGGAGTGGGGAGAAATGTATAGCTCAATAAAATAAGATGATAAACAGCAACAACAAGAAAGGGTTGCCATGGTCACGGCATCTCTCCACAGCAATAGAAACCCTACGACATGCACTGTTCTCATCTGCTCCCCTGTGAATCCTGTGGAAGTAACCATTCAAAGCCCACTCGGCTTCTTCCTTCCTTGACTGTGTTTTCTACCCCTCCGCCCCCCAGTCAGGCTGCCCAAACTGCTTCGGGTCCCTGACCTTTCAGCTCCCTTGGTGCAGGGGTCACAGGCATTCGCTCCACACCCAGCAGCCCTTTTCCTTCTCCCGTCTTCTTCCCCTTCCTCATCTTTCCCTTCGACTTCTCTCTTCTCTTCCCTTCACTTCCGCTCTCCTTCCCTAGTCTCTTCCCCTCCCCCTCCTCCTGTTCTTAGCTGACCCCTCCTGGCCCCTCCTCTTTCCCTTCCTTCCTCCTCCCCCCTCCTCCCTTTCCCTGAGGGTTGAACTTAGGGCTTTGGGATGCCAGGTGTCTCAGTCGGGGTTTCTGTTGCTGCACTGAGACACCATGACCAAAGTGCAGGTTGGGGAGGAACGGGCTTCTGTGGCTCACACTTCCACACTGCAGTCCATCGCTGAAGGAGGTCAGGACAGGAACTCGAGTAGGACAGGAGCCTGGAGGCAGATGCTGATGATGCAGAGGCCATGGAGGGGGCTGCTTACTGGCTTGTTCCCCATGGCTTGCTCAGCCGCTTTCTTATTGAACCCAGGACCAGCAGCCCAGGGATGCGCGTCCCCCCCATGGGCTGGGCCCTCCCCCATCAATCACCAATTAAAAAATGCCCTACAGGGTTGCCCACAACCCGATCTCACAGAGATATTCTTGGGGGAGAGGCCTTAGGTGGGTTCTAGGAAGTTGGGAAGGTTGGTCCCTGGGACATGCCTGTGGAGGATGGCTGTGGTTGTGTTAATTGAAGCGGGAGAACCCATCCCCTGTGGTTAGTGACGTTCCTTGGCTGGTCTCCTGCATCACACACGATGGAGAAAGGGAGCACAGTGGCAGCATGCATCCTTCGCTGGCCGCTGACTGTGGCTATGTGACTAGCCGCTCCAGGCTCCTGCTGCCTCCTCTCCCCTGCCACCATGGACCCTGTCCTTGAACTGTGGGCCACAATGAACTCTTTCTCCTTCAAGTTGCTTTTGTCTGAGTATTCTGTCACACTGTGGTGCTTTGAAAGGAAACGAGCCCTGTAGGGAGGGGCACTATCAGGAGGTGTGGCTTTGCTGGAGGATGTGTGTCACTGTGGGGGTGGGCTTTGAGGTCTCCCTTGCTCAAGCTATGCTCAGTGTGACAGAAGTTGCTTCTGCTGTGCACGGATCAAGATGTGGAGCTCTCGGCTCCTTCTCCAGCACCGTGTCGGCTTGCAAGATGCCATCCACCATGCCGATAATGGACTAAACCTCTGAACTGTAAGGCAGGCCCAATTAAATGCTCTCCTTTGTAAGAGCTGCCATGGCCATGGTGTCTCTTCACAGCAATAGAAACCCTATCGAGGACTCATACCAACAGGAGAAGAAACTGAGGCAGACATTTACAACCATGGCCAGGGAAAGGGAGCTGATGGGATTCAAAGACGCACATGTGTATAACTTCACTGGTACCCTAGCTTGCAGTGTTTTATCTTGGCTGCCTGTGTTCTCCACACTCTGCACCATTCACACACATAACCCTTTACCCATGATCAAGTAGATACAGCCCTTATTAAACTCACTGAGTCAATCACACCAGTGACTAAGAGACATGAGAACAGAGAGGGAAGAAACTAGTTGGGAAGAGAAAGGGGATCAGCAAGGGTGGGAGTGTGATAAAGAGGGTAATGTGGGAGGGTGTGATGGGGGGTGCCTTTCTATGTGTGTGCTTCTCTTATTGGTTGATGAATAAAACGCTGTTTGGCCAATGGAGGCAGGATGATAGGCAGGACTAGGAGGCAGGAGAATTCTGGGAAAGCTAGGCAGAGAGAGACCACAAGAACACTGTGCTGCCCAAGGAGTAATATGCGGGATTACAGGTAAGCCACAGCCTAGTGGCAATACATAGATTAGTAGTTGTGGGTTAATAAGTAAGACAGAGCTAACCAATAAGAAGCCCTAGACATCGGCCAATAGTTTTATAATTAGTATAGTGTCTGCGTGTTTATTTGGGGCTGTTGAAGGGCAGCAGGACAAGAAAACCAGCAACAGGTGGGTGTCAAAACATTTTAATATACATGGTTGAAAATGCCCACCCAAACCACTGATATACATACAGGATTAACAGATGCTAGTGAAATTGACATGTTAAAAACTTCTATTTGTGGGTCTGGGAGTGGTGGTTCACACCACTAATCCAAGCTCTCAGGAGGCTGAGGCAGGGTGATCTGCAATTCAAGGCCAGCGTGAACTACACAGTGGGCTCTAGGTCAGCCTGGGCCACAGGTTGTCTCAGCAAGCTCTGTCAATGGAAAACTGGGCTATTTTAGTGTGTTCCTTTGACTCCACCTTCCCTCTATTTACCACTCAATTATAAAGCCTCCTTTACATGTCCAGGTATTTATTATGACATCCCACCTCCTGGTACTAAGTTCTGCCTTAGCTTGCCCTGAGATGCCCCCCAAAAGAAGACCATATGTTAGGTAATCTATTAAGGACAGTGATGTGGGAAGTCCTGTGATTATGTCAATAAAGCACTGTTGGGCCAATAGGAATCTAGATAGGTGGGACTAGGAGTCCAGGAGAACTCTGGGAAGGAGAAACACAGAAAGTCAAGATGTAACGCCATGGGGTAGGAAGCCCGGAACTATTCTCCGGTAAGAGAAATACTTAGATTAACAATTATGGGCTAATTACTTAAGTCAGAGCTAGCCAGTAAGAAACAAGCAAGGCCAACAGCTTCATAATTAATATAGCCTCCTGTGTGTTTATTTGGGACTGATGCGGCTCTAGAACCACACTTGCCGGAAGGCTTCTCTCAAAGGAATAGGCTTCCCTTTACAGGACAGGGATTTATTTCTCTCTCTTTTTAAATAAGATTCATTTATTGATTATGTATACAGTATTCTATGTGCATGCCAGAAGAGGGTGCCAGATCTCATTACAGATGGTTGTGAGCCACCATGTGGTTGCTGGGAATTGAACTCAGGTCCTCTGGAAGAGTAGTAAGTGCTCTTAACCTCTAAGCCATCTCTTCAGCCCGGGATTTATTTCTTATGGTTCTGGAAGCTGGAGAGTCCAGGATGGGGTGAGAGGGTAGTGGGGAGGTGGGGGGTGGGGGGATGGTAGAGGGTAGGGGGGATGGTGGGGGGTGGGATGGGCAACATCAGGTTGTAACATCATAGTCCCCATAGCAGAAACTATAGAAGGCAGAATGAGTATTAGAGACAAGAAGACGGGAACACTTTCTGGGGCAACTAAGCTATCCGAGTAATAGCAGCATTAACCCAGTGTAAAGATTAGACCCCCAGGGCTAGGGAGATGGCTCCGTGGTTAAGAGAACTTACTGCTCTTTCAGAGGACCCCAGTTAGGTCCCCAGCACCATCAGATAGCACACAACTACCGGCGAACCCAGCTCCAAGGAGTCTAACACCTTCAAATGCATGTACCTACTCACCCATATTCACATATACCACAAATAAAAATAGAGCAAATCCCTTAAAATTAAAAGAAAAGTTAGACCGCTCTATGATACCCACACTACTTTTGATATGTTGGCTGCCTTATCTCAAAGGAACAGCACCGTGATGCCTTCTACCCACAGTAGAGGTTCCCTCTGTCATAGTTGTACTGGGAATTAAGAAGCCAACACAGATCCAGTGTTAATGGCACGCGGTTTCTTTCTTTCTTTCTCTCTCTCTCTCTCTCTCTCTTTCTTTCTTTCTTCCTTCCTTCCTTTCTTTTTTTTATTTATTGGTTTGTCAAGACAGGCTCCTCTGTGCAGTCCTGGCTGTTCTACAACTCACTTTGTAGACCAAGCTTGACTGGAACTCAGAGATCCGACTGCCTCTGCCTCCCACGTGGCGCATTCCTTTAATCCCAGCATTTGGGAGGCAGAGGCAGGCGGATCTCTGTGAGTTCCAGAAGAGTGCAGTCTACAGAGCAAGTTCCAGGTTAACCAGAGCTACATAGTGAAAGTCTGTCTCAAACAAAACAAAATCGCAATCAGGGACTAGAGAAACGGCTCTGTGGCAGCTGCTTCTCTTCTGGAGGACAAGGGATCTTGGTTTCCGGGTGGGGCTATCTAGTCTAGGAGGGGAACTCATTAAAGCAGGCAGAGCCCGCAGCCCCGCGCCAGGCTCTTCCTCAGGGCCACCCTCACCTCCTTGTTCCTCAGGGTGTAGACCACAGGGTTCAGCAAGGGCGTCACCACCGTGTAGAACACCGCCACCAGGCGGTCCTGGGAGGGGTTGGCCCCGGAGTCTGGCCGCAGGTAGATGATGGAGGCACAGCCAAAATGCACGATGACCACTGTGAGGTGGGCCGCACAGGTGGAGAAGGCTTTGCGCCGGCCTGCGGCCGAAGGGATCCTCACGATGGCAGCCACGATGAAGGCGTAGGAGAGCAGGATGAGGAGGAAAGAGAACAGCACCACGAGGACGCTCAGGAAGAAGATGCCAAGCCCCTTGTGCGCGCTGTCTGCACAGCTGAGCTTCAGCACGGGCGCGATGTCACAGAAGAAGTGCTCCACGCGGCCTGTGCCGCAGAAGGGCGAGGAGAAGATCATGCAGGTTTCCACCAAGGCCACCGAGAAACCAGAGCAGAAAACCAAGGCTCCCAGACACAGGCAAACGGTGGGTCTCATGATCACAGAGTAGCGCAAGGGATGGCAGATGGCCACATACCTGTCGTAACCCATTAGTGTAAGGAGGAAGCAGTGACTGCATCCCAAGCCCAGAAAAAAGAACATCTGGGCCCGACAGCCCGCGATGGAGATGGCCTGGCTCTCCATCAGCAGATGGGCCAGCATATTGGGGATGGTGACCAGTGTGTAGCAGGTCTCAGAGAGGGAGAGCACAGCCAGGAAGCGGTACATGGGAGTGTGGAGGGTGCGATCCACCTGGATGATGGTGATGATGGTGGCGTTGCCACTGAGTGTCACCAGGTAGGTGAGGAGGAACAAGGTGAAGAGAGTGGGCCTCAGTTCTGGGAGGTTGGAGAATCCCACCAGCACGAACTCTGTCACCAGCCAGGTCCCATTGTCCCACTGCTTCTCAGGAGCCTGGGAGGAGACAGGATTACTGGCACAAGGCAGGTCAAGAGGCCTCGGGTGGGGGTAGGAGAATCATCACTGATTTGCAGACAGGACAGAGGGACTCAAAAATGACCAGTTATTACCCAGCCAGCAAGGTGTCTCCTTAGTGTGTAAGACACTTACCAGAACTTAGAAGGCAACAGTACTTCACATGCGGGAGGAGAGAGAAGAAACGTTAGCGTCCTGGTTTACTTTCTATTGCTGTATAAAATACGCTGACAAAAAGCAATTTAGGGGAGGAAGGGTTTAATTTAGCTCACAATTCCAGGTCACAGTCAGTCACAGCAGGGAAGTCACAGTAGCATGAGCTTGGGACAGCTGGTCTCATCCCAGGGACAGTCAAGAGCAGAGAAATGGATGCATGTGATCTCACTGAAAGAAATGGATGCATGCAATCTCACTGAGAAAAATGGATGCATGTGATCTCACTTGCTTCCTTGCTTGTGTTTAGATTGGTTTCTCCACTCTTAACATCGTTCAGGACCTAGGGAATGGGGCTGCCAACAGTAGGCTGTACACAAGTCTTTGTACATAGTGAATTAAGGCAGTTTCCCACAGACATGTCTTTGTACATAGTGAATTAAGGCAGTTTCTCACAGACATGTCTTAGTACATAGTGAATTAAGGCAGTTTCCCACAGACATGCCTGTAGTCAGACAATCCCTCAACCAGCTCTCTTCCCAGGTGATTCTAAGTTGTATCAAGTTGACAATTAAAGAGAACAGTCACAGTCACTTCACTGAGTATCTCTAGAAGTAGAGCCTACATAAGGACCAAGGTAAGATAATTTATCTCAGGGGCAATCCAAAAACCAAACAAATAAACAAAAAAAAACTTGACAGGGGCTGGTTATATTAGCTCAGCGGTAGGTTGCCTGCCTAGCAAGCGTGAGGACCTGAGCTAAATCCCTAGTGTTATTTGAAAAGTTTCTACACCCGGGTAAGCCTCTCTGCCGAGACAGCAATCCAAATCAGACCAAATCAAACCAAATTAGAAGAAGCCCCCCAGAGAGGAGATGGGAAAGGGAGATTGGAAAAATCACAAGTCTGGTTTGGGGGGGTAGTTTAAGTGCCCTGTGGAAGTGATCTTGAGCATCTCTGGGAGCGGGGCCATCATTTGGCGGACGTTCTGAGATGCAGCAGGGTTTGGAGAGAGACGGGGCAGGGGCTTGGGTGGAATCCCAACACCCCGCACCAGAACATCCCAGACTCTTTGGGTACCTGGATGCCCCAGGCCGGGGCAAAGCTTTTACCATAACACAGTTAACAAGAAAGCAAGAGCAACAAAACAAAATGAAGAAAGGACTTAGGAGGTGGCTGTGAGGCAGGTAAGGGACACAACCCATGTAAAGTGGGTCAACTTGGAGTTTCACCCCTGGCGGCAACTGTAATCATATCATCCTGGGAATCTCTGGAAAGTGAGAGAGACACACACCTCAGTGTCACCCTCCATGATGAGGGGCATGGGGCTTGTCTGCCAACGCTCACTAACCACCTGCTGTCGGGCCCACAAGATGGCTGAGCACAAAAAAAGCACTCTTAGTGCAAGTTCCATGACTGGAACTCTGCCCTCAGAAGCCACATGAAAATGGAAGGAGAAAGCCAAGTCCATAGGGTTGTCCCCTGACCTCCAAGGGCAGTCCATGGCTCCTGCATTGCCACCAAAATGGTGATGAGGATAACAGAAGTGACACATAATAATGATGATGACATTAGTAATAATAACCAAATTAATTATAGGGGCTGCTGCTGACACGACTCAGCAGTTAAAGGAATCCACCACCAAGCCGATACCTGAGTTTAATCCCTGGAACCCTTGCAGTGTAAGAGCCGACTCCTGACAGTTGTCTTCCAACCCCTTCCCACTTTTGTACCCCCTTCTCCCTACTCTCCTTTCTGTCTTCCTCTCTCTCTCTCTCTCCCTCTCTCTCTCTCTCTCTCTCTCTCTCTCTCTCTCTCTCTCACACACACACACACACACACACACGCTAACTTGAAGTACAATACTCCAATATCGGCAGTCATATTGTTCCTCTGTCTCTGTTGCTTCAACTGTTCAGTGTCTGTCTTTTGAAGCCAAAGAGCCTGGACCACCTCACTGGGAAAAGAGAAGACAATAAAGTCTTACATGGGTCGCACCATGAGTGTAAGCTAGATGGATCGTGAGTTCGGGATCAGACTGGGCTACGCAGCAAGCGCCTGCCTCCAAAACAAAACACAAAAGGCTTAATATTTTCATACAATCCGTGAATTCCTATTTGCAATTTAAATGAACTTGAAATTGCTCTTAAGATATAATGTAATTGAAATATTATGCAAGTAGTTGTACTATATTGTTTGAAGGAGTAATGATTTTAAAGTCTGTTCAATACAGATATCACCATAGAAGGCCTAACTACATTTTCTTCTCATTTATTTAATTATGTTTGAATGTGTGTATGTGCGTGTATTTGCATGAAGTGGGACAAGAGTTAGTATCAGTTGCTTTCCATCTTACATATCAAGGCACTGTCTCATAAGCACGGGACTCACTGACTCAGCTAGTCTAGGCAGCCGGCTTCAGTCTCCCCATGTTCATTTCTTGTATGCTGGGAGTACAGGCAGACTACCACGTCCACCTAGAGCACACATCTACTCTGGAGATTTGAACTCTGGTCCTCAATTGCATGTATAACTGTGTGTACACATGCACAAAACATGCCCACACCCTACCAAACACATACACAGAAAAAAAAACTCATTAAAAACAAACAAAAAGAATGAAGTTCTACTGACTGTCAGTATTCTATGCCTTTAATTAAGAAACATGCCTTTGGGGCTGGAGAGAGATGGCTCAGAGAGGTCCTGAGCAACCACATGGCAGCTCACAACCATCTACAGGCATACATACATACTACAGAACACTGTATACATAATAAATAAATAAATCTTTAAAAAGAAGCATAACTTTGTGTTGACCTAGAAAACTAGATTCAAACACATAACTCAAGCTCCAGTCATATTATTATTATTATTATTTTTTTTTTGGTTTTTCGAGACAGGGTTTCTCTGTATTGTTTTGGAGGCTGTCCTGGAACTTGCTCTGTAGACCAGGCTGGCCTCGAACTCACAGAGATCTGCCTGCCTCTGCCTCCTGAGTGCTGGGATTCAAGGTGTGCGCCACCAACGCCTGGCAAGTCATCTTAATTTTTATAGGTTTACATACATTTTCTTGTGTGAGTGTTTTACTTGCACGTATGCATGTGTGCTGTGGTCATACCTATTGCTCACAGAGGTCAGAAGGCTTGGACCCCTGGAACTACAGTTAGCAGGTGAGTTATGAGCTGTCACGTGGGTGCAGGTCCTTGCAAGAGCAACAAATGCTCTAACCATGGAGCCGCCTCTCCAGACTCAAGTTCCATCAAGTCCTCACCAGCTCACTTGGAACCCGTGAGGTCTACGCCCACCGAAGGTCCCAGAACAGCCCTTGCCTGCAGGGCTTAACTGTGGGTGCTCAGTTCAAGGCTTACCCATGTTCCCACTGTGACAGCGCCAGACCCAGGGTCCTTCCTGACAAGTGTGGGAGGGCAGAGAGCCAGGAGTGCTAGGGACAGGGTCTGGTCCCTCCTCCTATTTCTCCTCATCAGGGTCGCCTTCCCTGCTGCTCCCAGCTCTCACTCTACAAGATCCTGTGTGTGCGTGCGTGTGTGTGTGTGTGTGTGTGTGTGTGTGTGTGTGTCTCTGTGCCCATGGAGCTCTGGGTTACACACATGCAGCCCACACACCCCAGCCCACTCATCTCCTGTCTCAGCACCACCCGTGACCAGCATTCTGTGTCTGCAGTGTTCAGGGCTGCAGGGGCTCCTCTCGTTCCCCTATGAGCACATTGCAGATTTCCGGGACCCCACAAACTCAACTCAACACTGGAATTAAACACCTTGGAAACAAGCTCCGTGGAAGGGCGTCATTGTCCAAGCAATCTAAACAATTTCCCTCCCTCCACTCAGTTGTAGGTCTTGCCAGAAGGTGGGACTGGGCAGGTAGCTTCTGCAACCAGAATGTCACTCACCATGGCCAGCACAGGATCTCACATCCCTGTGAACATCTCTCTCTGCCTAAGAAGGGAGGGGACAGAGGACTCACATTCTCCTCTTCTGGGGTCCCTGGAGCTGCTGTCCCAGAACCTGTGCAGGCATTAACAAGCCCCCCAGGACCAGGCTGGCGCTGTGAGGAGCTCTCTCCTGGAACAAGGCCCCCAGGACCAGGCTGGCGCTGTGAGGAGCTCTCTTCTGGAATAGACACCCCAGGACCAGGTTGGCGCTGTGAGGAGCTCTCTCCTGGAATAGACACCCCAGGACCAGGCTGGCGCTGTGAGGAGCTCTCTCCTGGAACAAGCCCCCCAGGACCAGGCTGGCGCTGTGAGGAGCTCTCTCCTGGAACAAGCCCCCCAGGACCAGGCTGGCGCTGTGAGGAGCTCTCTCCTGGAACTAGACACCCCAGGGTCTTCTTCCCCAGCCCTCAGCCCTGAGCCTCACAGTAGGGAAGGATTAATTGGAGTCCTCCTTTGGGGACAGCAGTCCCAAATCATCCCTCACTCCGTCAGTGCTCCCTGTCTGCACGAGTGCCCTGTCAGCTGTGCAAGGCTGCTTCCCAAAGACCCTTCCCAAAGTTGGTGACTCCCTGTTGTTACTCAGGATTTCAGGATGGATTTAGGGTCCTGAAGCCCTCTCATGTTGTTCTTCCTAGATACTTTTAGTCATATAAATAATCTCAATAAACACTCCAGTTCACTAAGCAGGATGAGGTGGAATTGTTTCTCCACGTTGCTCTTAGTGTCTCATCTGGGGAAAATTGACACTTATGTCTCTCCAAACAAGTCACAGTAATTAATGCCTGACTAGAGATCCAGGAATGAGTTGAGGAGTAGTGTCATGGCCCATGCACTGCACTCTGAGACCTGTGGCTGGGGCTGATCTTTGAGAAGGTGGACAGTCTCAGAGGCGATCCTGATATGGCTACCTCACTCCATGAGTGTGGGATGGTGTATGGTCTTACTGTAGCGGTGGCTGCATGCTCCCTACCATGACAGAGCATGCAACCGAGGCTGAGCTGTCTGAGAGTGGCAATGAGTCCCTGATGGACTGGCTTACTGAAACCAGGAGGGACAGTTGCTTATTGCTGTCTGAGATGCCTATTCAAGGGAAATCCCAAGGTATCTGTCTTCCCTTCTGTAAAATGGAGTGTCAAGTATCCTTGATGCATGGGATCTGCCATGTGGATGTTGAGATGCCCCCAATACAGACGGAAGACCAGAGAACACCTTGCAGTCCCCAAGGGAAGCATGGATGGGCTTGTCAGAGAGTTGTTGCTGCAGTTGCATGGTCACTGCACTGAGTAGTAAGACACAAAGCTGAGGGTTGGATGGCTGCACCGTGGGAGTTTACTTATTCACAGGGGCAGCTACAACTGGGAATGACACGTGGCTGGGGTCCTCCATGTTCGCGCCAACTTGGCCGGCAATTGGATAGGAGGGGTGAAATGGAGGGATTGTTTTGCATTCTTTCTCTCTGTGTGAGTGTGTGTGTGAGTGTGTGTGAGCACTCATGCACAACTTCCAGAGTCAATTCTCTCCTCCCATCACATGGACGTCTGATGGGGAAGTCCTGTGTATATGTCAATAAAGCACTGGTGGCCAATAGGGAAGCAAGATAGGTGGGACTAGGAGTCCAGGAGGACTCTGGGTAGGAGAAACACAGGGAGTCATCATGTAGCCCGCCAGAGAAGTAAGATGTCTGTCCGGTAAGAGAAATACTTAGATGGGTTAAATACTTAAGTCAGAGCTAGCCAGCTTCATAATTAATACAGCGTCTTGTGTGTTATTTGGGGACTACAACGCGGCAGAGCCCAGGCGACTGGTGAGGAAAAACCAAAGTGGCTGGCAAGGAAAAGGCTTCTCTGTACAGATGTCAGGGTCTGAACTCAGGCCATCAGGCTTGGTGGCAAGTGCCTTTGCCCTCGGAACCATCTTGTCAGCCTGGTTTGCTTTTCTTGCAGCCAGGTAGGAGGTCAATGTGCAAAGATAATACAAGTTATATCTGTGCTGAAGAGTCCTTCCTGGGATCCAAAAATGTGTAACTTACGACAAGATCACAGAGACTGAGGAGGAAGACATGGTAGAAGTAATAACGATACCTTGAAGGGTCAACCTTTACTGGGGAAGAAGGAAAACCTATGATTCACCATGTAGACGGGGGCAGACTAGATGGTTCAGCAGATAAAGGTGCCTGCTGCCAAGCCTTGTGACCTGAGTTTAATTCCTAGGATGCACACGATGGAAGGACAGAATCGTTGCCTACAGCTTATTATACAATGTGGGGCAGTTTTGTGTGCATATAATACACATAATAAACATTGTTAAAAATGCAGAGAGGACAGCAACAGACAGTAACATGGTAGTGATGGAAGCTGTCCTTGTGACGAAGGAAGATCCATTATCCAACATGCAGACAGGAGCCTAACAACGTTCCAATACTATGACATGGGGCTGGAGAGGTGGCTCATTGGCTAAGAGCACCGGCTGCTCTTACAGAGGACCTGGGTTCAATTCCCACCATCTGCATGCAGGTCACAAGCAGCTGTAATTCCAGTTGCAGGGGATCTGATGCTCTCATCTGACCTCTTTGGGCACTTGATGTACATACATGCATGCATGCAGACAAAACACTCACACACATAAAATAAACCATCTTTCTTTTAATGTTAAATTACAACATTTCTCCCTTCTATTTTCTCCCTCTAAACCCTTACGTACTCCCCTCCCTTCTCTCCTTCAAATTCATGGCTTCTTTTTCCATTATTTTTTATTGCATGAATATATGTATATACATATACAAATATATTCCTAAACATAACCTGTTCAGTCCATATAATGTCACTTATGTTTATTAAAAGGAAGGAAAAATCTATGTCAGGGAATATATGGCACCTGAATTCCTTGAATTGGAAAATACTTTTAAACGAGAATAAAAAAAAATCAGCCACATCCTGGCTTGTGGGGACACAGAGGTGAATGGAAGCAGCCAGAGTGCTGTGGAAACAGAAAAACCAAGTAACTATGCATTCTTCCTTAAGACAAGGCTGCACGGCCCGGGACAACATGAGGGAAATCAGTTCCTATTGGACTGGCTTCCAAAAACACTTGGTTACCGCTGCCTCAGGTCTCTACGAATGCCAAGGAGTAAGATGGAAGAAGACTACAGGCATCATCGAGGGAACTGGGCATGACCGAGGTGGTGTGGGATGCTCTGGTCACTGGGCTGCACGGTTCCACGTTCATGGGATGGTAGAAAGAATGACTCAGCAGGTCCCTTCGGGGTAGGTCTCAGGCTTTAGTGGCTTTGCTGAGCCCAATAGTGGGACACGGTCTTTATGAGATAGGAGAGGCTATAGTAGATCTGAATGATTTGGACCAGCCTAGAAATCTGGTCTGAAAAGTTCAAAAGCAATCAAGAGGAGGTGAGGCAGCGGTGTGTCTAGCCATTGCGCAGCCTAAGTGCTGTGGAAATGAGGAAAGGGGCCCTGAAAAACAAGATTGTCTGCACCAGACTGGCCAGCTCCCTTGGGCTTCAAGACCTGGCCCCCATCTCTTGTGAAACCTGATTCTCTCCCAACCCCATTCCCTCTGCGCTATAAATGGCTTGTGGCAAGTTCTGGTGTTTGGGGAAAAGTTCATGCTCATGGGGAAGTTTAATATCAGGAAAACTTAGCTCAGCCAATCAAAATAGATGGCACTCAAGACTGATATGTGTAGGGAGTGGTAAGGGGGCAAAAGGGATATAAAAAGCCTGCTTAAACTCAGAGTTCCATTTTGGGACTGATATCTGGGTCTATCATATATACACAATAAATTGTTTCTGGCTTTCAGCGTGGATGTCTCATCCCTTGGCCAATCCTTACAGCATTTCCGACTTCCTAGATGGGAAATAAGACTGCTTTCACCTCCCTGGTCTTCACAGCCCTGGGCTTCCCAGGGCGCCGGGAGCAGCTGCTTGTCTGAACCATTGGCTATCTTATCCGTAGGAGACTGGCCCTCCTGCGGTCCTGGGATGTGCTCACTAAAGCACAATGGACCATATCTAGCCTCAGGAATCAGGTCAGGAACTTTGCCTATGTCAGACTGGTAAAAACCTGGGTCCATTTGGTTTGGGATATCTGATTAACCCCCCCTCTTTGGGTGGAAGAGAAGACAGATAATTTTCTAAGAGTTCTAGAGCTGTCAGCATAGTCTGCTAAAAAGGAGAAGCAGCTCAGCAGTGACTCCTGAACCCTGGAGGGGCTGGAGTCATATTGATTCGTGTGTCTGAGACAGGAATGGCAGTGTCTGGCTCCGAGCACTTTGTCCCACTCTGTGAGTTTTACATGCAGGTTCCAGTTTGTAGAAACTGTTGGTCATTCAGCACTTTATTAGACCAATCAGGTGTTTTAGACAGGCACAGTAACACAGCTTCACAGAGTTAGACAAAGGCAGCATAAAAGAATACAACACTGACTTGCATTATTAGACAAATATTCTATAGCATGAACAAAAGTGGCACATCTTAAGCCAATATCTACAAGACAGAGTCTCACTCTGTAGCACAGACTTGTCTCAAATTCATAGCAGTCCTCCTGCCTCAGTCTCCCCAGAGCTGTGACAACAGACACGCACTACCACATCCAAGTTTCAGCTTGTTAGTGATCTACAAAGGGCTGACTCAAGTGTGGGTGGAGCAGTGCACAGTTTCAGACAAAGGGAGGAGGCAGAACGTTGGATTCCTGGAACTGTAGTTGTAACATGGATACTGGGAATTAAGCTTGGCTTCTCTGGGAGAGCTGTGTCTGAGCTAATCTATCCCTCCAGTCCAAGACAGGCAGTTTTGAGCTTTACCACGATGACAAAGGTAAGCCAGGATGGATAGTACTGGCAAGCCAGAGTCTAACGTTCTGGTGTCTGGTGCAGAGGATGGACAGGAGATGGGGCAGTCAGTGGTGGTGTTCCATGCAGTCAGTTGCAGCAGGTCAGAACAATTAGCTAGTGTGGTTCCAAGGGTTGGGAGAAGTTGGGGAGAGCATGGATATTCTGGTTGGAATGAAAATAGCCCCCCTAGACTCATAGGGAATCGCAGTATTGGAGGTGTGGTCTTGTTGGAGGAAGTATGTCACAGGGGGTGGGCTTTGAGAGATCAGAAGCTCTAGGCAAGCACGTGGTCACTCTCTCTTCCTGCTGCCTGCAGATTCAGTCATAGAACTCAAAGCTACCTCTCCAGTGCCATGTCTGTCTGGGTGGCAACATGCTTCTTGGTGTGATGATAATGGACTAAACCTCTGAAGTGTAAACCAGCCCCAATTAAATATTTTCCTTTGTAAGAGTTGTCGTGGTCATGGTGTCTCTTCACAGCAATAGAAACCCTAAGTAAGACAATGGATGTTAAATGACTAAAAACTGTCTAGAAAGAAAGAACAGACATGTGAGGACTTCGGGACCCTAAATCCGTCCTGAAATCCTGAGTAACAACAGGGAGTCACCAACTCCCTCCTCCCGCAGAGGCAGGGTCTTTGGGAAGCAGCCTTGCACAGCTGACAGGGCACTCGTGCAGACAGGGAGCACTGACGGAGTGAGGGATGATTTGGGACTGCTGTCCCCAAAGGAGGACTCCAATTAATCCTTCCCTACTGTGAGGCTCAGGGCTGAGGGCTGGGGAAGAAGACCCTGGGGTGTCTAGTTCCAGGAGAGAGCTCCTCACAGCGCCAGCCTGGTCCTGGGGGGCTTGTTCCAGGAGAGAGCTCCTCACAGCGCCAGCCTGGTCCTGGGGGGCTTGTTTCAGGAGAGAGCTCCTCACAGCGCCAACCTGGTCCTGGGGTGTCTATTCCAGGAGAGAGCTCCTCACAGCGCCAGCCTGGTCCTGGGGGGCTTGTTAGTGCCTGCACAGGTTCTGGGACAGCAGCTCCAGGGACCCCAGAAGAGGAGAATGTGGGTCCTCTGTCCCCTCCCTTCTTAGGCAGACAGGGATGTTCACAGGGATGTGAGAGCCTGTGCTGGCCATGGTGAGTGACATTCTGGCTGCAGAAGCCACCTGCCCAGTCCCACCTTCTGGCAAGACCTACAACTGAGTGGAGGGAGGGAAATTGTTTAGATTGCCTGGACAATGACGCCCTTCCACGGAGCTTGTTTCCAAGGTGTTTAATTCCAGTGTTGAGTTGAGTTTGTGGGGTCCCGGAAATCTGCAATGTGCTCATAGGGGAACGAGAGGAGCCCCTGCAGCCCTGAACACTGCAGACACAGAATGCTGGTCACGGGTGGTGCTGAGACAGGAGATGAGTGGGCTGGGGTGTGTGGGCTGCATGTGTGTAACCCAGAGCTCCATGGGCACAGACACACACACACACACACACACACACACACATGCAGGCACACGCACACGCACACAGGATCTTGTAGAGTGAGAGCTGGGAGCAGCAGGGAAGGCGACCCTGATGAGGAGAAATAGGAGGAGGGACCAGACCCTGTCCCTAGCACTCCTGGCTCTCTGCCCTCCCACACTTGTCAGGAAGGACCCTGGGTCTGGCGCTGTCACAGTGGGAACATGGGTAAGCCTTGAACTGAGCACCCACAGTTAAGCCCTGCAGGCAAGGGCTGTTCTGGGACCTTCGGTGGGCGTAGACCTCACGGGTGCCAAGTGAGGAGGTGAGGACGCCTGGTCTCACCAGGTAACTCCTTGGAGCAGGCAATCTCCCCATCTAAGAGGTGGGAGCAGGAATCTGTGTAGATTCAGGGGAAATCAAACTCCAGATCCTCTTCCGTTGCAGAGTAGGGTTCAGACATGGAACGGGTCCCTGCTTTTCTCCAAGCTCTTTCAGCTGGGGACTTGGTCCCAACGCTATTTATTTGGCAGATTTCACTATCAACTGTGGGTCTGTAGGACTCATTTCTTTCTTTTTTTTTTTTTTTTTTGGTTTTTCGAGACAGGGTTTCTCTGTATTGTTTTGGAAGCTGTCCTGGAACTCACTTTGTAGACCAGGCTGGCCTCGAACTCACAGAGATCCGCCTGCCTCTGCCTCCCGAGTGCTGGGATTAAAGGCGTGCGCCACCAACGCCCGGCTGTAGGACTCATTTCTGAGTTCACAGATGAGGCTTAGAAGGACACAGCAGCTGCCTCGTGTCCCGATATCCCCAATCTCAGCGCTGGCATCTGCCACCTACCCGACAAACCTCTGTCCTAGGAGCTCCATTGCATGCATAGGTGAGGACTGCTGGTCCTGGGTTTTCACTTCCTCGGGCCAGGCTATAGCTTCAAATGATGGTAACTTGAGTTCTGTGTCTGAGTCTGGTTTTCTAGTTCATTGTGAAGGTGTGTATTAACAAAAGGCCTTAGCCTATGGGCAGTCTGGCTACAGACGGGACTTCCTGTTCTTCTTGGTCTTTGGGTCGGGGACTTGGTCAAAGCACTGTTCCTCAACTGTGGGTTCACAGGGTCACAGCCAGCTTCCCAGGAGTAGTCTTGTCCCATGCAGGGGACATTCAAATCCAGAGTTATTAGGCTTAAGAGATACAGCTCACTGTGCCCACTGTCCCTGTCTGTCAGAGAACAGTATCTCTGCTCTAAGTAATAGCGATCGCTTTCTGGGTAATGGCCCTCCTGTCTGTGGAGGTTAGCAAACAAAGCTTGACGTACTGTGGTAAATTCCCTCCTATACTGAGTACATGCTGAGGGAAGATTTCTGTCTAAGTCTCCTCTTTAAGCTGGATGCCTAAAGTGGTGTCTGGGAAGTGGCCCGTGAGAATACATGGAAAGAGACTCCTGCCTCTATATCAGGGGTTCTCAACATTCCCGATGCTGTGACACTTTAACACACTTCCTCATGTTGTGATGACTCCCAACCATAAAGTTATTTCATTGCTGTTTCATAACTGTGATTTTGCTACTGTTACGGCTTGTCGGGTAAGAATGTCTGATATGCAGGATGTCTGATATGGTCGTTTGCCCTCAAAGGCGTCATGACCCACAGGTTGAGACCAGCTGCTCCGTATGGTAACATAAATTGGTAGCCTGTCAGCTAGCTCTGAGATTGGGTCCAAGATCCGCTCCCTCAGAAGCTAGGAGGTGTATGTAACTCCAGCATTTGGTAAATAGGAAGATGGCAAGTTCTAGGTCAGCCTGGACTATATAGTGCGGCCCTTCTTTAAAAAAATGCCATTACTTCACCTGGAAAGTTTGAATTCGCTTTTGTTCCTAAATGCCTTCTTTCTGATGCGGTGGCCTCGTGGCTTGCCAGTTAATGTCTGCCTGAGTACGCAGCTCACCTTCGACTGATGCGGGCTCTGCTGAAAAGCTTAATTGCAATGCTTCTCGAAGAGATGGTTTATTTTTTATCTGATGTGTATGAATGTTTGCCTGCATGCTTGCACAACGCCAGAGTCCCTGGAACTGGAGATTGCCGCTGGTTGTGAGCTGTCACGTGCGCGCTGGGACTTTGAATCCAGGGTCTCTGGAGTAGCAGCCAGTGCTCTAAACTACTGAGCCATCTCTGCAGACTGTGTTGGGACAGGGTCTCCCCATGTAATTCTAGCTGGCCTTGAACTCACAATGTAACTGAAGATGGCCTTAGTCTCCTGGTCCTCTTGCCACCATGTCTGGAGTGTTTTATTACCAGTTTTTGTCACTATGTCCAGCTAATCAAGTTCAGTTTGACAGTTTAAAAGTGCACATATATGCACGATTTATTTATTTATTTTGGAGGCAGGGTTTCTTTGTGTAGCCCTGTCTGTTCTTGAGCTCACTCTGTAGGCCAGGCTGGCCTCAAACTCACAGAGATCCGCCTGCCTCTGCCTCCCAAGTGCTGGGATTAAAGGAGTGCACCACCACTGGCCTGCAAAAATGCATATTTTTTGAATAACAGTATTGACTGTGTTAAAAGATAATGCAGCATTGCTGAAGGCATTTGGATGCTATGCAAATGTCGCCTCATTGTCTTTCTCATTTGTATGGTGGTGTTGGGAGTGGCACCTCAGGCTTTATGTATGCTAGGTAAACATTCTACCACTGAACTGTTTCCCCAGCCCTACCTCTATTTCCCATCAGTACATTTTCTCATCTCAAAAGGAGGCTCCTCCTTCACTGGTAGCCGCTCCCTAATCACCTCCCCGAGCCCCCCCCCGAGAGCTGTCACTCTGCCCTCTGTTCTTTGGCTTCATACACCACGGGCATTTTACGTCGATGGAGCTATGCAGGGCCGGGGAGGCGGCTCAGACGGTAGGGAGCTCGCTCTGCAAGCATGAGGATCTGAGTCAGGATCCCCCGCACCCATGTGAGAAGCTGTGCATGGCGGTCCACACCTGTAACTTCAGCGCTAAGGGGATGGAGATGGGAGGCTCTTGGGCGTGGCAGCCACTGATTACAGCTGAGGTGCTGAGCTCCAGATTCCATGAAAGAATCTCTCAAAAAAATATGGTAGAGAACGATAGAGGTTGTTAGCCCTTGCTACTACCTACATGTGCACACATGGCGAAGGTACCCAAGCATACACTGAAAAGGAAAAGGAAGGAAGGAGAGAAGGAGGGAAGGAAGGAGGGAAGGGAGGAAGGAAGGAAGGAAGGAAGGAAGGAAGGAAGTTGTACAGTATCTGGTGTCTGTGTCCGGCCTCTTTCACTCAGCACTGAAATTCTGAGGTCCTTCTGAGCCAGCTCTTCCATGGATCGCAATGTCATTCTGAACAATATTTCACCTTGAAGACAAAACCCACACACGTGCTGATCCACTCACTTGAGGATGGGCATTTTGGTGATTTTGAATAACGGAGCTTTAGAGGCAGGTTGCCATGACTACCTGACATTTACGTGAGTTTCTGGAGATCTGAATTCTGGTCCTCATGGCTGAACAGCAAGCGCTTTAACCACTGAACCATGTCTGTAGGAATTCTTAAACAACCACTTCCAGTCTTTGCATCTGAACCTAGTGGAGATGCTGGGTTACAGTAACTGCGAAGTCAGCTTCAAGGGTCTGGCTTTCTTGTTTTAACTTGCATTACTTTGTCATGAGATTGAGTTTTCTTCCTTTTAGACATTGGATATTTGCATCTTCTGTTTTTATGTTTTGTCTTGTTTCTTAACGTTCTCTTGGGATGTTATAAGGTCATTGTTAGTCTCTGGCAGGAGGGACCCAGGCACTGGTAGTGGCCCATTTCCTTCCTTCCTTCCTTCCTTCCTTCCTTCCTTCCTTCCTTCCTTCCTTCCTGCCTGCCTGCCTGCCTGCCTTCCTTCCTTCCTTCCTTCCTTCCTTCCTTCCTTCCTTCCTTCCTTCCTTCCTTCCTGCCTTCCTTCCTTCCTTCCTTCCCTCCCTCTATCACTTCTTTTTTTTTTTTCTAATACAGTGTTTCACTGTGTAGATCTGTCTGATTTGGAACTCACTCTGTAGACCAGGTTGGCCTCAAACTCACAGGGATCCATCCACCTGCTTCTGCTCCCAAGTGTTGGGATTAAAGGTGTGCACTGCTACACCTGACTTCTGGCCATTTTCATCTTAGCTCACCACAAGGGGTGAAAAACATCCATACAGTCAAGCTTATGTGTTAGTCTTGAGCTTTCATCCCATTATGGACAATGCTCCACAGGGTCCCAATATTCCTTGCTTAGCTGGCTCCCATCACCAGCAGGGGCTGAGAGCACACATTTCCATGGGTTCATCCCTTGACATAGACCGGTGCATGCTCCGGCTGCTCATGGCTGCTGTGGAGGCTGCAGCTTGAACTTGCATGGTGGAGATGTTCATTCACACGCACACGAGGCCCTTCTAGTGATGGCTGGGGCCTACAGTGGGAAAGGAAGGGAGGGTATGGGCTGGGAGCAGGTTCAGGATGCTCGCCCGCAGTGCTAACACTGTCTGCTCCGGAAACTGGAGAGATCCAGGAATTCTACGTTTTAATTTTGGTTTCAAGGATGTCAACAAGGCATGACTTTTCTTTCATTTCTTTTCCCTTTTTAAAAATTACATTTATTGCTGGGTGGTGGTGGTGGCGCACGCCTTTAGTCCCAGCACGAGGGAGGCAGAGGCAGGCGGATCTCTGTGTATTTGAGGCCAGCCTGGTCTACAGACAGAGTTCCAGGACAGCCTCCAAAGCTACAGAGAAAGCCTGTCTTGAAAAACAAAAGCAAAAACTTCCATGTATTTATGTATTGTGTGTACACCCATGCTACCACAGCCTTGTGGAGGTCCGAGGACACCTTGTGGCAGTTGATTCTCCCTGCACCATGTGACTCCTCCGGGGATCAACTACGAGTTGTTGGGCTAGCCTTTACCATCTGATGAGTGCTGCCACCTGAACTAGCTGGGCTGTAGCCTTTACCATCTGGGCCATCACACTAGCCTCTCTTTTTCTATCTGCGTTTTCCTCCCCCACTCTGCTCTCTCTTCTGTTCCTCTGGGACAGTGTTTCGCTCTGTAGCCAGGCTGGCATAAGCTCACTATCCTGCTTCAGAATGCTAGGACTCGAGGTGTGAGTCTCCACACCCAGCCAATGCCGCATTTTTGACAGCAGTGGTGGCAGTGGTGGTGGACCCTCTTCTCTTCTCCCTCTGTCTTCTCCTCCCCCTTCTCCCTTTCCTTTCTTTGACACAGGACCTCTCCATGTAGCTCAGGCTGATGTGGAACTCAAGGTCCTTCCCGATTCCCCATCTAACAGCTGCATCTGGAGTTATATTTGTTTGTTTTTTTTTTGAGATAGGGTTTCTCTCTGTAGCTTTGGAGCCTGTCCTGGAACTGTTTTCATAGACCAGGCTGGCCTCAAACTCACAAGTATCTGCCTGCCTCAGCCTCCTGAGTGCTGGGATTAAAGGCGTGCCCTGCCACCCCATCTGGCTAATTCTTATCTTCTTACACACTAAGGAGACACCTTGCTGGCTGGGTAATAACTGGTCATTTTTGAGTCCCTCTGTCCTGTCTGCAAATCAGTAATGATTCTCCTACCCCCACCGGAGGCCTCTTGACCTGCCTTGTGCCAGTAATCCTGTCTCCTCCCAGGCTCCTGAGAAGCAGTGGGACAATGGGACCTGGCTGGTGACAGAGTTCGTGCTGGTGGGATTCTCCAACCTCCCAGAACTGAGGCCCACTCTCTTCACCTTGTTCCTCCTCACCTACCTGGTGACACTCAGTGGCAACGCCACCATCATCACCATCATCCAGGTGGATCGCACCCTCCACACTCCCATGTACCGCTTCCTGGCTGTGCTCTCCCTCTCTGAGACCTGCTACACACTGGTCACCATCCCCAATATGCTGGCCCATCTGCTGATGGAGAGCCAGGCCATCTCCATCGCGGGCTGTCGGGCCCAGATGTTCTTTTTTCTGGGCTTGGGATGCAGTCACTGCTTCCTCCTTACACTGATGGGTTACGACAGGTATGTGGCCATCTGCCATCCCTTGCGCTACTCTGTGATCATGAGACCCACCGTTTGCCTGTGTCTGGGAGCCTTGGTTTTCTGCTCTGGTTTCTCGGTGGCCTTGGTGGAAACCTGCATGATCTTCTCCTCGCCCTTCTGCGGCACAGGCCGCGTGGAGCACTTCTTCTGTGACATCGCGCCCGTGCTGAAGCTCAGCTGTGCAGACAGCGCGCACAAGGGGCTTGGCATCTTCTTCCTGAGCGTCCTCGTGGTGCTGTTCTCTTTCCTCCTCATCCTGCTCTCCTACGCCTTCATCGTGGCTGCCATCGTGAGGATCCCTTCGGCCGCGGGCCGGCGCAAAGCCTTCTCCACCTGTGCGGCCCACCTCACAGTGGTCATCGTGCATTTTGGCTGTGCCTCCATCATCTACCTGCGGCCAGACTCCGGGGCCAACCCCTCCCAGGACCGCCTGGTGGCGGTGTTCTACACGGTGGTGACGCCCTTGCTGAACCCTGTGGTCTATACCCTGAGGAACAAGGAGGTGAGGGTGGCCCTGAGGAAGAGCCTGGCGCGGGGCTGCGGGATGTGTAAGTAAGAACTTGTTTTCGGGCGTGAACTTCTCTAATAATTAGGACAAGTATATTAAGAAAGATAAGACCTTGCTTTGCGCTGTTCACAGCGCCCTGTGCTTCGGTGAATGCCTTCCCCCTGGAACTCTGTTTGGCTACTGGGAAAACAGGAGGCAATCCCGTGCCAGATGAAGTAATCCTGTTGTCTGTCAGTGCCTGAGACAGTCTAACCACAACAAACGATGCCTTTTCTTTTTCCTGGTTTCCTTGACTTGACGTGGTGCTATGTGGTCTCCGGTGTCTGATGCTCACCCGTGGAAGGCGCCGCAGATACAACCCAGGGCTGAAGATGGGCAGAGAGCAGTTTTTTCTTCTCTTTAAAATTTTTTATCTTGCTGGGCGTTGGTGGCGCACGCCTTTAATCCCAGCACTCGGGAGGCAGAAGCAGGCGGATCTCTGTGAGTTCGAGACCAGCCAGGTCTACAGAGAGTTCCATGACAGCCTCCAAAGCTACAGAGAAACCCTGTCTCGAAAAAACAAAACAAACAAACAAACAAACATTTTTATTAAATTTGTAGCTTCTTAAATTATTTTTCATGCAGTATATTCTGATTATATTCCTTCTCTTCCCAGATTTCCCCACCTCTTTACCTCATGTTAGTGCATAGTCTGTGCCCTCTCCCACCCCCCAGTATATAGCAGTTTTTTAAAGAAATAGTCTATGGGTTTGAACTTTTTTTGAGAACTTCATATATGAGAGCTGCATGTATGTCACTCCCGTCCCTCACCCTGCCCCAGTGTCCACAGGAAGAAGGGTTTAACAAAGACAGGCCAGACATGAAGTTCAGGGGATGCTGCCTAGCGTGTGCAAGGCCCTGGGTGTTTCTTGGTTTTGTTTTTCTCCCAGCTGCTCAAGACTACTTTTTGGCCACTGCTCTTCCAGAGTTCAGTTCCTAGCATCTACATCAGGTGGCAGTATCTTCTTCAATTGGCTTACAATGGAAGTCTTTACAATTGGAGACTTGAAGTCCAGTTTCAAAAGACATGACACCCTCTTCTGCCTCTGAGGTAGTCCCGGGCATGTACATACTTACAAAATAAAATCTCTCTTTCTCCCATCTCACGGTCCCATTTCTAGTTTCATGATAGCGCGCCACCTCCATATTTACACATATATTCATTTAAACTAGGGTCCACACAGGAAAGAAAACACATGGCACATGTATTTCTTAAAAGTTTCATTAAAATCATTATTTAAAAAATATGTATGTGTCTTATGCCTGCAGGCACGTCTGTGCACCAAGCATGTGTGTGTGTGTGTGTGTGTGTGTGTGTGTGTGTGTGTGTGTGTGTGTGTGTGTAGTATCAATGGAAGCCAGAGACTTGCATTGGAGCCCCAGGATCTGGAGTTGCAGATGGCTGTGAACTCCCCGGTGGGCACTGGAGCTCAGGACCGCTGGAGGAGCAGCCAGTGCTCTTAACCACGGCACCATCTCACCAGCCCTGTAGTCTCCTTTCTGAATCTGGCTTATTTCACTTGACGTACGGATCTCAAGTTCCACGCATCTTCCTGCAAATGATTTAATCTTTCCTTATGGCTGAATAAAATTCCATTATGTATGCACACTGGTTTTATTTGCCATTCATTGGTGAGTGGACATGTAGTCTGGTTTGATTTCCTTGCTAATGGGAATAAAGCATCAGTGAACATGGGTGTGCAAGGACCTTTGTGCTAGCTTGATCTAGAGTCCCCCAGGTACATTCTCAGGGACACTACAACCAGGAAACATGTATATGGATGTCTATGGTGGGTACATACACTAGGATTAGTTCCTGTCACCAGTGTTGAGAACTCCTCTTCCCCCACACCCTGACAAGCATCTATGTCAGCGGTTTTCTTGGTGACAGACATTCTCACTAGGGTGAAATGGCATTTCAAAGCAGTGCGACTTTACAAATGCTGAACACTTTCACTTTCGCAAATATGTAGTGAACATTTGTATTTCTGCTTTTGAGAATTATGAATTCTTTTGCTCACTTATTGATTATACAGCTTTTGGTGTTTAATTTTTTTAATTCTTCCTAAAAACTTAAGTGAGATAAATTTATTTAGTGTGTGCATGTATGCGTGTGGATGCACACGTGCCACAGAGCCTTTGTGCAGGCCAGAGGACTGGGGAGTTGGTTCTCTTCGTCTGTCGTGTGGGTCCCAGGGGTCAAAAGAGGCCACACGCCTTTCCCACTGAGCAGTTCTGGGATCTCACAGCTCTTTACACGTCCCAGTTATGAGCTCACTATCCGGTGCAGGGTTGGCAAAACCCTTTCCATCCTGTGACTGTCTCTTTGCAGCAGTTGCACTGCAATGCAGAAGCCTTTATTTGCTTGTTTGTTTGTTTATATTTTCTGAGACAGGGTTTCTCTGTGGCTTTGGAGGCTGTCCTGGAATTCACTCTGAAGACCAGGCTGGTCTTGAACTCACAGAGATCCTCCTGCCTCTGCCTCCCAACTGCTGGGATTAAATGTGTGCGCCACCACTCTGGTGTTCAGAAGCTTTTTAATTTTGTGTAATCACAGTTATCAATTCTTGAGATCACATCCTATGTTACTGGCAACCTTTTCAGAAAGTCCTTGCTTACGTATGCTTATATCTGAAACTGGTTTCCCTAGCAGTTTTTAATTTTCATACTTAGAGGCTCAGGTCTTAACCTTGAGATCTTTGATACATTTTTAATTGTGCAAAGAAAGAAGAATATATCTAGTTTCATCCTTTGACATAGTCTTCCTGGCAACATTTATTTTATTTACTTATTTTTGTTTTGAGACAGGGTCTCACTATGTAGCCTTGGCCGTCCTGGAACTGCCTCTGCCTCCTGAGTGCTGGAACTAAAGATGTATGCTGCCATGCCCAGCCCAGCATCACTTAATAAAATCTTTTTCAAGTGACATCTTTGCCAAAAATTAGGTGTATTTGTGTGGATTATTTCTGGGCCCTCTGTTCTATTTCACTGTTCTGCATGCTTGTTTTCTGCCAGTGTCATGCTGTTTTGTTGTTATGGCTCTTTAGTACAATTTAAGACCAGGCATTGTAATACCTCCAACACTGTCTTTCTGCTCAGGATTTCTGCTTCTGTTTGCGATCTTTCATGTTTCCATATGAACTTTAGGATTTTCTTCTAGGTCAGTAAAGAATGGCTTTGGAATTTTGATGGGAACAGTGTTGACTTTGTACATTGCATTAGTCAATGCAAGTCTTTTCTTGTTACCAGTTCTGCTAGTCCACAAGCATGGGAGAAGTTCTATATTTTAGTGCCATCTTCAGCTTCATTCATCACTGTCTTAAAGTTTTCATTGTAAAGGTTTTACTTCCTTGGTTATGTTAATTATCAGGTTTTGTTTTGAGACAGGGTCTTACTTAGCAGGATTAAAGACGTGCACCACTACACCCTGCTCATTGGTATTTTTGAAGGTATTTGTGAATGGCTGCAAATGGGGTTCTTTACCTGGTCACTTTCTCAGCAAAGCTATTGTTAATACATAGAAACATTATGGTTTTGTATTATGCTACCTTGCTCAAAATGCTAACCAGATATAAGTTTTCTGGTGGACTTTTTGTGTCTTTTAAGGATAGGATCATGTTGTCTATAACACAGGATACTTAGACTTCTGCCTTTCCAGCCTGTATCTCTTTTATTTCTTTTTCTTGTCTTATTACTCTAGCTAAGATCTCAAGTACTATACTGAATGTAAAAGGAGAGAATGGGCTCCTTTTCTCATTCCAGATTTCAGATGAAATGCTTTCAGAGTTCCCTCAATCACTACAATCTTGGCTATAGGTTGTTGTACGCAGACTCTATTACGCTGAGATTTGTTCCCCCTAGTGAGTTTTGTGGTAAAAGTATTTTTAATTGAAATCAATATTATATTGCTACCCTTGGTGGGTAATTTCTGTCCATGGTTGATGAGATTTACTTTTGAGTTACCAATCTTGCAAGGACGGTACATCCATTCATACACCACCCCCACAGTCCTATGACCCGGGAAGTAGTGTATGCAAGGAAAGCTGGGCTAACGTCTTTCTTCAGTGTAGAAACAGTAACAGAGTATCCACAGTGTGAGCTTCCCTAGGCAAACACACATGGGGATCAGCTTTGCTCCATTTAAAGAAACAAGTCCTAAGTGGTTAGACAAACACAGGGAAAATGGAAAGGGCAATGAAAGACAAAAGACAAATGAGGTGATGAGCTCAGGAGATCTGCGAGAGACTGAAGCAAAGACAAATCCCTCTCATTTGCCGTGGAATTCCAGACAGTTGTGTATCTTCTGTGTGGGCTGTGAGCAACAGGAAGGACCAAGCGTGGACGGTAAAGATGTGCTCCGTAGCTTGAAAAGGACATAGAGATGTAGGGACTGACCTACACAATGCTGGGGAAGCTGCTGTAGTGGGAACTATAAAGAATTAAAGACCCTGCAACACCACTGTTGGGCACATACCCAAAGGAGGCACACTCACACCACAAGGACATCTGCTCAACTGTGTTCATAGCAGCATGATTTGTAACAGCCAGAACCTGGAAATAACCTAGCTGCCCCTCAACCGAAGAATGGATAAGGAAAGTGTGGTACATTTACAGTACTATTCAGCAGTAAAAATACAAGGACATCTTGAAATTTGCAGGCAAATGGATGGAACTAGAAAAAGTCATTCTGAGTGAGGTAGCCCAGACCCAGAAGGACAAATATGATATGTACTTATTCACAAGTGGATATTAGACGTAAAGCAAAGGACAACCGGCCTAGAGGCCACAAACCCAGAGAACCTAGGTAACTAAGAGGACCCTGAGAGAGACATACATGGATCCACCTAGGAAGGGGAAAAAGACAAGATCTCCTGAGTAAATTGGGGGCAGAGGGGAGGATGGTAGGAGAGAAGGGAGGAGGGAAAGGGGATGGGGAAAAGGTGTAGCTCAATAAAAAAAGAATTAAAGAAGGTACTGGAAGAGACACATCCTCAGAATTAATATTGATAAAAGGCCATCTAATGATTCAGTGTGTTCTCTAGGAGAATTCCAACTAAATTCTTCACAGGAGTAATGTGAAGTTCCCATGGTGGCTCTGAAAAACATGAGTGATCCTCAATCACAATAGCAAAGCTGCAGTCACGGTGCTTGATTCCATTTGGACTAAGAAACCATAGTTACTGCTTGGAATGAGGAAATTAGATGCAAGGCCCATAAATGAAGCTGCACCGTGATGGCCATTAGATCTCAACACCAAAGGCAAACAAGACAAGCTTGGAAGATAAATGGTGCTGGGGAAGACAGGTGGCGACTTGCACAGACTGAAGCCAAATCTTTCTCAATTTACCC